AAAACTTAAAAGGATATCAAGGGAGATGTAAATAGACCAAAAATGGTCTTCAAGAAATTATTTGAAAAATATTTTTCAAAATATGCCATGTATACACATCTATACGTTGGGTCTCAGTTTGTTGATTTGAGCCGTTCGATTTACCTACTTTCACAAATATATTGGTGACTGCCAACCACGTTTATTGCCACAGAACAGGTGAGTATCTTTCATCACTAGCAGGCGAACTTAAAATGCTCTCACAGCTAACAATCAGTTGCAGTGCTTTTACTGCAATGCTTATCAAGAAGATACCAGTAGGTACTATTTCGTCTGGATTCGCACGTCAAATCCTCCAGAAACGTCATCTCCCTTCCATTGCTACCGGTGGAACTTCATGAAGCAGTTCCTGTCAGACGTCAGACACAAGTAAACACGACATGACGAACATTTTACTCTGGCCAGTTTTGAACATCCTGGCAGTCGGCACCTGTGGTAAGAGGCCTTCCCTGAATCCATCGGGATCATCTGCTCGTCCACTGCCACGGCTTCAGGACGATCCAGCTGAAGACAGCGCTGCCGAATGGCGTCCAGCAGTGGTCGGATTTTCCACAGACGATCATTCTGTTTGTGGTCCTCGCTAACGCGATTATCATCGACCACCTTTAGATTGGCCCTGATGTTGAAGAACTTGTTTCTGCTCATTTGATCGGCAACCACTGGAAGACGATACTTCTCGCTCCAGTACATCCGAAGCCATGGGAACTTGATGACTGACGTGTAAAAACAGATGCCAAAGAACTTGAAGATGTCTCCTGGTGTGACATTAGGAGTCTTTCCCTGCTCTGCTAGGCGCTGGTTAGTACATGTTGCTATGACGGCAAGCAGATCACCAGATACGTATCGAAGAAACATGTCAAGCGGAAGCACTTTCTGCAGCTCAACTCTTCCCGTGCTTACTCCCATCTCCAAGAGACGCTGTGCCGGCTCTCCAAAATCGGCATTGAGTCTCCAGAACACTCTTCTGCTGGCAGGTGGATCGGACGTCTCTTCATCGGTTGCTGACAGCTCGTCGTTTGAGGATGGGCTGTCTTCGTTTTCGCCAGAGACGTTCATCGGTGCAGTTCCGGTCAAGTCATCTTCATCTTCCGAGAGCTCAATATCAGAGATGTCAAGGTTGTTCAGGATCTCACGCAGCTGTTCATCAGTTATTGCGGGAGGCCTCCGGCGGGCAGTTGCAGGACGTGTGGAACAGGAAGGACTCCCAGAACATCCTGGAATGGCAGGGATTGTAACCATGAGGGAAATTGGACGGATGGGCGGATGGACGGAGGCAGGGAGGGAGGGAGGGCGGGATGGAGGAGGGAGGGAGGGAGGGAGGGAGGGAGGGAGGGAGGGAGGGACGTAGGGATGGGGGTCGTAGGGATGGACGATGCACGGGCGGACGGACGAACGAACGAACGAGCGAACGGACGGACGGACGGACGGACGAACGAACGAACGAACGAACGAACGGAGAGAGAGAGAGAGAGAGAGAGAGAGAGAGAGAGAGAGAGAGAGAGAGAGAGAGAGAGAGAGAGAGAGAGAGAGAGAGAGAGAGAGAGAGAGAGAGAGAGAGAGAGAGAGATCAGAGAGAGAGAGAGATCAAATATAACCCCCTAAAGACAGCATTCAGACCCAACGTATAGACACCTTGACATTGTGATTGATGACAGTATAGGAAGCAAGCCAATTAATTTAAACACACAGATAAGACACCAAATAAACCGTAATGGTTCGTTTTAAGTAATGCTACATGAAATTATTCTCAGCAATTAGTAAAAACATTTGAAAACAGCGTTTAACTAACCTGTACTTCTTCCGCCGGTCGCCATAGTTCACAAAAAGGAAAATTGCGGATGTTTGCGAAGTACTAGTGCCAAAATTTCTCGCCAGGTGGCTAACAAATGGTAAAGAAACCCATACGCCCGGGATTAAGGTCAATGCTAAAAGTTTTCTTGTCGCTAAAAATTTGCAAAGTTGTGTATAGATATCTATACGGTGGGTCGCTGGAGGGTATGTAGTTCTGTAGGTCTCGTGAGGCCGAAAAGGCGTAATCTACGGCTACAAACAAAACAAATATTTATTGCAGCTACTATGTATTCATAAAGCAGCCTTGATTGATCCGAAAAAAAAAACATTTTAGCCAATGGACAATAAGGACATATTTCTCCCCGGCGCCGGGAAGGCGATCAGTGACGAGTGACGACTGAAAACCGAGAGGCCCCTCTCGCCCCTGACGAAGACGTGGCAGTCTTTGTGACAGGCGACAGCCTGACAAGCTGGCAGCAGTCAGCTGCTATTGCCATGAAAACGGTTATCCCAAGCTAGACAATTTACCGGTCGCCGAAGGAGGACTCGAGCCGATGGACGCCTCAGAACATGGGGCGCACCTGCCCGAGTTATGAGAGAGCTGTCAATCGCTCTGGCCTCTGCCCTCCGTGGACCTGCGACTCCGGGTCCGATATTGTTGCCGGGCTTTCTGCCGGGGTGATTTCGGGCGACGAGAGTCCTCGCTGTGTCGGCTGGCTTCGGAGGTGTGCGGAAATTTTATACAAACGAGCGACTAATGAACGGTGGACCTGCCCGCACCGTCTGACCGCTACCCCAAGCCCCAAGGCCGTATAAGAGCGCTACCCATCATGACCGACGGCTGAGACCCCACTAGCTCACGGTCAGTGGGCCGTGGGGGGGGGGGATCTGGGGTTACCGAAACCTGATTGGCTTACTTCACTTCGCACTTCGCAGAGCGTGGGAAATCTGATCCCACTGAACCGTGATTGGCTAGTTCATGGCTGATCAACAAGAATGTGGGCAAGTCACTGTCAGTGGGCGGAGCAACGTAAAGACGGGGAAATGTGATTGGCTGCCTGGAGAAGTGCAATTCCGGCACTGAGGTGGCGGTGGGAGGAGCAATTGGATATGCTAAAATGTGATTGGCTGGTTGGAGCGGCGGGAGAGGAGGTCCAGCTAGTTAAGATGAATAACTTCTGATGGATATTGCTCGTGAATGTGGCCTGCTTTTCAGAATCGGAGCAGTGTTTAATTATTTACCGTTCATTACTATCATTGTTGTTCTTATCTTTAAGGGCTCATGCCTCATAACACCTACAGGAGTACAGGCATAATAACCGTTCATGAAACAAATTGATACTGGTAAAAAAAAAAAACTGAGCCTGTGATTGGCGCTTCGCTTTCCATGGTATTCGGTTCCAATAAAATACAAATGCTGCATTCGCTGAATCTCTGGACTCTGAACATCCCCAAAAGCAAAGTGTGACAATAAGTAAGTACATAGGTAGGTATGAGATATGCGATTCCTGCATTTGGGACCGTTTCCGGTTCTTATATAAAGGGCACACTCAGAGACGGTTACAACGCATTGCCGACTGTCATGGCGCAGCACCGCCTCTGAGGCGGCGCTGTTCTCGGAGCTGAGCTGAGGTGTGAGCGCGGCGCGCGGTGAGCAGGTGGTGGGCTCCCAGCGCGCGCCGCGGCTATATAGGCCGCGCCCGGCCGGGGGCGGACACACGACACCGAGCCAGTCCCACCAATCCCAGCACCATGCAGCCCCTGACAGCGTGCCTGCTCGTGTCGGCCGCGCTGGCCGGCGCCTCCGGCCAGATCGTGACGCCGTGGCTGGACGGCTACAGCGGCCAGCATCAGACGGGCAGCCTCATCACATACCACGACAGCGCCAGCAGCCTCGGCGGCTGGAACGACGTCATGCGCTCCGCCTGCATCAACGGATTGTGAGTCGGCTCATACCACTTACCAGCACCACTTTCGCATGAATGTGTTCAGTTACTAATTGGGAGCATCAAATGGCTAAACTTCGCCTCTTATTGACTGAACAAACGGGGCAAAAGTAGCGTCTGTCGATTATTCATGATGACTTGCGAAGTGCGAACTGATAAGGCGATCAACGTGAAACTTCTTGGTGATTTCAAAGGGAAGCGGGCACTTGGGAAATTGAGGCCGGCTCGGTGTTGTTAATAATCTGTCCACTCTGCAGAGTGGACAGAACGGGCGGGCCCATGGGTCCGCCCGTTCTGCGCCGACCGTGTAAGCCACATTTAGTTGAAATAGCCCTTTATGCCGCGCCATTAATGATTATGCCGGTGGTTTGGAAGGAAATTAATGAGCCTTTTTAAGTGTGAAGAATTTATGTTCCGCAACATTCATAGTCTTCTCACGAGTAAGGCGAATGACGGCACCTTGCGCCGTGTCGACGGATTTTTCATCATCTTCACCTTTCACGTAACAATTTTAGCCCCGGTTCAAGTAGGCCTAAGTCAGTGGTTCACCGTCCAACCTGACAGTTTATTGCTTTTGAAAGAGCACTGGCTTTTTAATTTGAGCGACATTGTACCTCCTTAAATTTACTATTTAAGCGTGGCGCCGATTTGTCGAAAATGCTAGAACGATGCAATCGGCATGTGACCTTTGATGACCTCTTATAACCAAGCGTTTAACCCGACCCGAAAATGGCAAAAGATATTTTGTCAGCATCGTGCGTTCCAACAGGGGGGCCAAACAGAGAAGCTAGATCCCATCATATTCCTCCAAATCCAACTACTTCAGGTCTGATAGAACTTTAACCCTCGCCGGACCTATTGGTTTTCTACATACGCGCCGGCCGAGGGGGGGGGGGCGGGTACGACCCCCCCTCGCCGTTTCGCCCCTGGTGGAGCTAGCGCGTCGCAGAAAATACGAGCGTGTGCGCCGTTACGAGACGCAGAGATTGGTACCCGATTTTAAGGTCCTAGGTCAACCGGTGACCTCTGAGGTCAGGTCAAGTGCCCCAGGGTACGGTTCAGTTTTTGGTGAATAACTTCGCAAAAAACGGCCGCAGAGCGCCGATTTTGGCAGCATCGTGTTCGCCTCGCTCAGGCGCGTCGAATGATATACTTTTTGTCCGGGTCAGGTCAACTTGGGGTGTTGACCTCAGGTCAAGGTCAGGTCAGCACCCCCAGGTCACGAAGTTGGTCGAAAGAGGTCATGTCGCATATCATTCGATTCGGCAGGCCTTCCTGAGTCCATTGGTGCTTTTCCCGACTCGCTAGCTCAATTTGATCAAGAGTTATTGACGAAAAACTAATTTGACCTTGATGACGTCATAAATGACGTCACGCAAGGTCAACATTGCAAAAGTGACGCATCTAACCTTGCAAGGAGTGCATCAAATCATGATTCTGTGTGCTTGAGATAGTTAGAGATCGTTCCCGGCGCCAGAATAGCAGTTTGAATTTTTCCCCATTGACTTATAATGGTGAGGTCACGAAAATGACCTGACCTCATATGACCTTTAGGAAAAATCCGAGATATACAAGTTGTGGGACTCATAATGGATACTAGATCCTGCAAGTTTCATTTCCCTGTGACATCTCCTCTGGCAGTGAGGGCGTTGCGAAGTTGCGACATCTGAAGACCGTGCAGCGGTTCACTTATGACGTCATAGGTCAGTGACCTGACCTGACCCAAAAATGCGGTTGGTGTCAAAAGATCCGGCTTGGATCAAAGGTTAGGTATGCCAAGTTTCAGCTCTCTATCGCCAGCGTGTTCGGAGCTATCGCGAAAAAACCCTATGGGGGGGGGGCGGCACCCGCCCCCCCCCCCTCGGCCGGCGAGGGTTAAGCTGTGGAAAATGCTTGCACCGATAAGCCTTTGACAAGAAAATATTTTTCCGTGTATGACTATGTCAGTTTTATCGAAACATTTTTTTGCGCTCAGCGTTAAACGGCTTTATCTCGGAATGATTAATAGGTAATAAACGGGAAATTATGTGGTATTTAGTGCTTCTCAAGCACAGCAATGCACGCTTCATGTAATAATCGAAATCACCCATTACAGATATTGATTGGAGAGGTCCTGATGTGATCGTAGTTGTACACTGCATTATCAATCATATACCTGACTGTATTTCCTTTTTCAGTTGGGTGTTCTTCGAGCATGATCAGTTTAATTATGACGCCGGAAGAGTGCTCTGGTCCTACGGCTTCAACTACTGCTTCACTTTCAAGGCGGACTTCGATCAGCAGGTAAACCGTGGAGGGATCTCATCTACAGTTATCTTTCGGGAAAATTGGTATATCCGGTTATAGAACCAAGTTTACTTCGGTAGTTCAGCACCCGTAGCGTATCATCTAGATAAAATAAGGATCACGAGCTGCTAGTGTGTCTTTGTAAAATGCCCAAGATTCTATCGATATGATCCAATTTAAGCTCCATCGAAGCTTTTATCCCAAAATTCCAGTTATTTTCGAATGAATTAAGGTGGAAACTGATAGGCGAAATTTGATGAATGTAAGACTTAATCTCTAGTGAGCCGGATGTGTGACATCTCTTACCTAACCTCGTGTGACTTGTTTGACCTCCTCCCCAGACTTCGAGCATCCGTCGGGTCGGTGACTACTATGACGCTGCCGCCGACTCCCTCAGTCTCTACGAGGGCACCTACTTCTCGGGCAAACAGGTGTTCACCGAGAGCTACCTGAGCAGCATTGGAACGAGTAAGTAAGAAGGATATTCGTAATAGTATAGTGCTTTAGATCTTCCTTTTCGCTATATTTAAGTTATTCAGACGGCCTTTGATTCATTCATCACAATATCCTCTCGAACCGATTCTGTATTTTTGCTTGGCTTCGCTACAAGCAGAGTGCAAGACCATACAGTGTTTGTCTCTATTGCAGGCTATGGCTACCAGTGTTTGATCGTGACGGGGTCATTTTTTTCTATTGCAGCCTACGGCTACCAGTGCGTGCTGGTGACGGGGTTAATATATGTCTCTATTCCAGCCTACGGCCACAGTGTGACGGGGTGACGAGTATTTTCTGTCTTTATTCCAGCATACGGCTACCAGTCAGTGATAGTGACGGGCCCGGACGCGTGGACCATCTACTCTGGCGACAACTATACGGGCTACAGCGTGTGTCTGTACTCGGGCAGCGACAGCGCCGTCTCGCCCAGCGGACAGAAGATCACCTTCGGCCTCTTCCCGACGGCCGACTACCTGGGCGTGGTGGGCTCCAACATCCGGTCGGCGCGCAAGGGATGCTACTCGGGGGTGACTCTGCGCGGCCAGCCGCTCACCGCCGAAAACCACATCTCCACTGTGGTGGAGGAGGACGCTGCGAGCGGAGGGGTCGGACGCGCCGGATCAAACTAGGAGCAGACACCACCGGTCTCTGAGCTGTCGGTGTCTGTAGCTACCTAGCGTCGAGCGGGGCTGGCTTAGATTTGATAATTGATACCTATATTGTTTTTATAGAATACATTGTTACGTTACGATGAAAGGTCGTTTGGATGCCGAAGCGACACGATACAACTGTTTGTCTTAATAAATTCATGCGCATAGTCCGTCACCTTATTTTCCGGTGAATCTACGGATTCTCATAAAGCTTGGGATTTTAGATCTGATTATTTTTGACGTCAGTGCGATTGCTTCTACACTGTGCAAGAGTAAGCTGGGTCATAAGACCTCTGCGGGACCGATTGAGCACTGATCGTAATTGGTGAACTAAGTCTTCCCGGCTGAAGGGGGCGAGTGCCAATCCCTCCAAACGTTTTCTCGCTATTATTCTAAAGGCGCTGGCCAGTGGCCATGGGAAAACTGAAAGGTGGCGAACCTGACCTCTTATCCAAGCCAGATCTTGTGACACCAGCTACGCTTTTAGGTCATGCCAGGTCACTGCGCGGCTGTATCTCGTTCCTGTAAGGAGTTATTGGCAAAAAATCGTTGGTGACCTTTAATGACGTCACATGACCTTACAGCTGGCCAACAGCAAAACAGGCCTCAAAGTAGTGAAGGTTGATCGTATGTGAAGTCATGTATGGTATATGGGGCCATTCCGACGCACTTTAGTGGAAAAAACAGAGAGTTGCTTTTCCCCCATTGACTTATAATAGGGAGGTCGAGAAATTGACCTGACCTTAAGTCATCGATATCGAAATTCCGAGATAAACAAATTGTAGCTACCAATGACCTTATAACATCCTGCGACTTTCAAAGGCCTCCGTCACCTACTGTAGCTCTGACACTGTGGAAAAGTTGCAAAAAAGTAACTTGAGGTTGGGTCATTCAAAGGGACCTGGTGACCTGACCTTAAAAGTTAAGATGTTCAAACTTGCACATCACGTGTAAAATTAATGAAAAAATAGTCATGCCAAATTTCCTGGCGCTACGCGCCGCGGTTTTCCCGCTATTCATAGGCGGCGGAACGGGGAGGGCACCGGGGCACCGTGCCCCCCTTTAATTTTGGCATTTTAACATTAGCCCTATGGGCGTTGCATGGAAAGAATCGAACCGAAAGTCGGCAGTGCCCCCCCCCCTTAATTGAATGTGTTCCGCCGCTACTGCCGCTATTCACGAAAAACCTCAGGGGGGAGGATAACCGCCCCCCCCCCCGCCGGTGCGCGGGTTAAGTCGACCTCTATAAAACGAAAAGTATAGCATTCAGCACGCTAAACCATAAAGAACATGATGGTGCTACGATCGCGACTAATTATCCGCCAAAAACCGAACTCCTACCTTGGGCATCTGACTTGACCTCAGAGGTCACCGGCAGGTAGTAAAAGGATACTGCCTAAAAATAAGAATTTGAAGCAGTTGAAAATTAAATTGTTCTTGACCAAATTTTCACTTGGCTGCACGCTTAAAATTGCTAAATATAAAGGATGCTTCACATAGAAGCTACTTTGGTAGGCTGTGTTGTCTAGTAGAAACGTAGGTACGCTATCTTATAAATTGTCTCAAATCCGACGTGTGAGTCTCGGTGATTATTCGACAGTTATGGTTGGACGATTTCGGATTTGGCCTCGCAGCTATCGCGTCTTAAATCAACAACCTTTACAAAAATAAACGACAGACACAGTTATACCCATACCAAAAAACATGGTTCGAAAACAACAGCGGACTATTTCTGGTGTATTTATTCATACTCTATCGATTTTCATAAGCCGGCTTTTCATAGCATGCATATATTTGGCCCATAATTGCGTACGTAACAAGTAACAGCTACCAATAACGTCACATCAAGCATCTTGTCCACAAACTTTCACAATGACGTAAGGCAGATGCGCTGCCTGGGCGTCGCTGTCCGTTTAACCGAGCAAGCACTTCGTCTGACTACCGTCTTATTTCCGTTGGCTATTTTTCGTCGGTCGGTCGCCGTTTCGGTAGTGTCTCTCTGTAGACGCCGACTGCGCTCTGTTGTCGCTCTAGTTCTTCACGACGAGCCCGGCGTCACCGCGGCGGACGGTGACCGGCTGTGACTGGAGGCGGGTCGCTCCCTCCGCGCAGCCCTTCTGCACGGAGCGGATGTTACCGCCGACAACGCCCAGCTCCCAGGGCGTCCAGAAGACGCCGTACTCGATCTGCTCGTCACCCACCCAGACGTAGGTGCCGTACGACTCCAGGCAGACGCTGTCGCCCGTGTAGTCCTCACCCGAGTAGATGGTCCACGAGTCGGGGCCGGAGACCATGACAGACTGGTAGCCGCTGGCTGCAGCAGAGACAGCAATGGTCCAGTCACTATCACAGACTAGCCGTAGGTTAGGCTGGAAGACAGGGGTAGCCGCTGGCTGGAACACAGCGGGACGGGAAGGGTGGGGTCTGGGGATAAGCTGCAGATGTCAGCTCACTGTCGGGTCTGTGGGCCGATGAACAGAAATGCGTCAACCCAGGAAGGGTCTGCGTGTATGCAAATATTGCGAAGTACAGTATGCGAATTGCAACAATGTTGGTGAAAGATATGTAGGGGAGTGGGAGAGCGTCCGTATCGGTTTAGAGATGTTGAGTTATTGTTCGTTTTAGTTTAGCTACCTTGGTTTGTTGAAATTGTACGCGTGGGATATTTAGGCAGGGGTCTGAAAGGAGGCAAGCGCGGCGGGAACCGCACGGGCACATCGGCCGCCATCTTTAGCCTCGAGGCGGCTGATGTGGGCGTGGCCTACTCGGGCCAGGGACGAGACGAAAGCAGGGGAGAGGAGATCGGGGCTCTTGGTGTCTGACGGCCGTCCGGTACGGACATCGAGCCCCCGACTGCTCTCTGCTGCTGGCTCACCTGGCTCGAGGTAGGTTCCTGTCACGCAGGGATTGATGCTGGGCTCAAAGCACATCCCATAGTTAGGATAGGAGCACCGGGGTGGAGGGTTAGGTAGATTCGCGCGCCGTAAACCGTTAGGGTAGTGATAGGGTAGAAATTTGCGAAATGCGGAAGGTGAATCGTCGTATCGAATATTGACTTACGCAGTCCTTTATATCGTTCGGCTTTTACAATAAATGGGTTTAGAATTGACCAGATGCATTTGGAGACGGGTTGAGTCGGAGGAGAACGGAGGTTGAGCGGAGTCAGATTCACTCGGTACCTTAGTTAGTCATCATGGCTCAGGAGCTTAGCTCCAAACCCACGAAGGGCGCGCTAAAAACCGCGTGTGCTCCAAAATGGCGGAGTTATTCACCTGAACCACGATGCATAGTTTAGTACATTTAGTTTAGAGGACAGTGGCCCGGGTGGCAGACGGGTAAAAGGCTGGGAGACGTCCCGGCTGATCACTGATCCTATAGAGTAGAGTAGAGATCCGGAGGGGAGGTAACGAAGGGCCTGCAGGACCGGCCTAAGCCCCCCTCACAGATAGAGCGTAGTAGGAACATGCGGGACGGAGCAATATGGTATGTAAGGGTAGGACTGCTACAATCTGTGGAGATATTGGATAAGGTGATGTATCTGTAGAAAAGTGACTGAGGTACGGAATGCATCCGATGATTGAGCTTTGAGACACGTGTGACGGGATATGCACCTTGCGTGTCTGTGCGGCTGTAATAAATGAAAACAAAATATTGAGGGCCGATGAAAAAAAAAATCCTATCGTAGTCGTGCGCCTGGCACATGCCGGCCGTATAGTGCCTATAGTTTTTCCTATTCCGACCAGTAGCGGCGGAACACCTTCAAGGGGGGGGGGGGCACTGCCGACTTTTGGTCCCATTCTTTCCATGCAACGCCCATAGGGCTAATGTTAAAATGTCGAAATCAAAGGGGGGCACGGTGCCCCGGTGCCCTCCCCGTTCCGCCGCCTATGATTCCGACCGCTAAATGTCCATCAGAGGCAAGCACCTGAAGCGTGCTGTGCTACACTGCTCCATAGTTTCTATTCTATCTGCTAGCTGTCTTGAACAGTCGGACGCCTGGCACATGCCGTGCCGCAGTGCTCAATATTTTTAATTTTAGCCGTTAAATGTCTTTAAGTTGGACGCCTGGCGCATGCTGTGCCGCAATACTCCATTTAGTTTCTAATCCAGCCGCTAGATGTCTATCGTAGTCGGACGCCTGATGCATGCTGTGCCGCAGCGCCTTGTAGTTCCTATTCCAGTCGCAAGATGTCTATAGCAGTCTGGCGCCTGTCGCATGCTGTGCCGCAATGCTCCATAGTTTCTATTCCAGCCGCTAGATGTCTTTCGTAGTCGGACGCCTGGCGCATGCTGCGCCGCAATGCTCCATAGTTTCTATTCCAGTCGCTAGATGTCTATAGCAGTCGTACGCCTAGCGCATACTGTGCCGCAATACTCTATAGTTTCCATTCCAGCCGCTAGATATCTGTAACAGTCGTGCCGGTGCGCCTGATGCATGCTGTGCCGCATGTCTCGGCTGTTCCTGTTCCAGTCACCTCGTGTCCGGAGGTGCGCGCCACGCCGCATGCTACGCTGGGTGACCGCTGTTCAGTGAGTACGTTCTTTTGAAGCAGCTGATTCAGTGTTCCTTGCTGATTCAGAGTTTGACTTCATTTTCGACACCCAGCTTTTTATTTTTGTTGGCTATAGGTATGTGTAGCTTAGTAGCTCAGAGGCTTACCAACATTGACAGAGATGTTTTGAACATCTCATAACATTGTTCGCTCACAAGAAAGTAGAAACTATATATGCTTCACGGGCAAGCCTTGGTAGGTATGGCAGCTGATACCCGCTGAGACACCCCAGTGTGGTAGAACAATAAAATGGAGCTCTCAAACCAGCTGGGGACGGGCGCACACGGGTGTACTCAGCACGACAGCCCTCACCTGACACGGTGTTGGCAGAGTCGGCCTGCAGGAACGTCTCCTCGCCCGAGAAATACATGCGTGAGTAGAGGGTCAGCCCGCTGAGAGACGCGTCGGTCGGGTCACCGACGTAGCGCAGACTGGACACCTGGTGAGTGGTGAGCGACGGGGCACGAGGTCACTCAATTCGGCAGCGCAAAGTAATTAAATACAGCTGAGCAGTCTCATACTCAGTCAAGGCATAGGCATTGAAACAGTGGCAGCTTACCTATCGTCTCGACGAACTCAACCACGGTGGAACTGATGAAACTTCGAAACGTGATGGCATTGCATAAAAGACATTAACTTTTATGTTTAATGTATACGGAACGCATAGAACAATCGGACTCCCTCTCGTACATACACAGAAAGGAGGAAACAGGCACCCACTTAGGTAATTGACACGTAAATTCACATTAGCTGTCTTCATGCCTGGCTGGGCATTCCATTCCACCCAAAGTCCACTAACCTTGCCCTGCAGGTCTCCGTCGATATCCATACAGCCTCGGATACCCAGCGTGAGGAGGACCGCTCCGCTCTGCGCATTGTACTGCTCGTTCTCGTACAGGATCCAACTGAAAGTGGGCCGTCAGTTAAACACATATCAGCCATGTGATGTAGCTAATGTCTCATAAATTTTGCAGATTACCGGATAAAGGCAGCCCTCAATTAACGACGCAGGTTAATTTGTCACCGATTAATTACCAGCCCATGAGGCAGATGGATCCGACGCGGTTATCCAGCTCGCCCAGGCTGCTCTGGCTGCCGTAGTAAGTGACGCTGGTGCCCGTCTGCCCGGCACCCGTGTACACCAGAAGGGACGGGGGGACGGGCGTGCCGGCGCTGGCCGCCGCCGCGCCAGCCACGAGCAGCGTGAGAACTCCGAGACACATGTCGGCAGGGACTGAGGAGCTCCTGAGCGCACCGCACCGAGCGACCGGCGCCTTTATACACTCACAGGCGCGCTGACATCGACACGTGCCTTTATAGATAGACACGCAGGCTCATAGTGTACGTTTACCTATGCCCATAGCATAGGTCTTACCTATATCTATACGCCATATGTAATATGCATAATGCATATTGATATATACGTATGAATATCTACATACACAGACACCTATATCGGTATTCAGACGTACATCTACACAGACATACAGACTTTAACAGGCCGACACAGTAGCACGCTCCGTACCCACATTAGGCTCGACAGGGACACAAGTGTGTTTTAACCCGCGCCCGGCTGGGGGTCTTGAATTTCCACGCCCTGCTGGGGGGGGGGGGGGGGTGTTTGAACACCCCCCCCCCTTGTAACTCGGCTCCTGGGCCACGTAGCGATACGCGGAAGGCGGCGTTCGAAAGAGCGTCAAATATAATGACGAAATCCCTTCGGTTAATTTTTTGGTCAGGTCAAAGGTCAGGTCACCAGAGGTCATTGAAGGCAGAATTTCGCCAATTTCCAGGTCGAATGTCCACAATTTCCAAGAAGCCAACGCATAACTCGAGAACCAATAGAGCTACAACGCTGCGGAAAAACGCATTCGATAGCCCTATTAAAGCCCTTTCTGAGTAATTCTCTCAGATTTGACCTAACGTCAACGGTTTTGCCTGCAGGGGGCAAAAACTGCAAAAATAGCCGATTTTTTTCGGAAACAGTTTTTCTGCAATAACTTTTGACCCAAGCATTGTACGAGCTTACTTTTACCGGCATTGTGTTCCTCTCGTCAAGACGCATCGAATGAACTATAAGTTGACCTTGAAAGGTCAACTGGAAAATTTGACCTCAGGTCAAGGTCATGACCTGACCGGAAAGGGTCATGTTGCATATCAGTCGATCCGTATCGTCGAGCTGAACACATCTAAGGCGTTTTCATCGCTCTAGCATGCCTCTATCAAAAGTTATTTGCGAAAAACTGTTAGATACCATTCGTGACCTAAGATGACCTCAGGGCATAAACAAGGGTCACTGACACCATTTTCATGTTCAGTGTGTCTAAACCACTTGTAATTCGGTGTTTGGGAGTGTTTATAATGTCTTATGTCCAAAAGAGGCGCATTTCAATTTTCTCCCATTGACTTATAATGGGGAGGTCGCAAAATTGACCTGACCTCAGGTCATCGATATCAAAATTCTGAGATATACATTTTGTACATGCTATTGCTCTTAGCAATCGCTGAAAGTTTCAAAGCGATCGGTCACTCGGTGTAGCTATGACAGACATTGAAACTTTTTATGAGGTGAGGTCACTTCAAGTGACCTGGTGACCTGACCTTGAATGACCTTGGTCTGAAGTTTTCACAACATGTGTAGAATTGATGTATGATAAGGTGTACCAAAAACGGATTCGCGAAAAACCACAAGGGGGGGGGGGGTGTTCAAACACCCCCCAGCAGGGCGCGGGTTAAGACAGTTCTGATAACTGAGCATATTGTGCTTGGGCCCAATATTCTACATAGATGTCAATTGTCAAACACGCGTGTAAAACACAATTCGCATGCCATGCAACGCAATACCTCATACCAAGCCCCTATACTATCGGTCACATTACCTATTTTGCACAGCTGTGCTCTGCGCACTTCCTTACACAGCAGGTGACATCAGACTCCTGTACATCTGCGCAACTATCTACGAATTTCGGTGACAAAGCGCCCGTTTTTCGTATGAAGCATCCGATGCATCGCAGAGCGGCGGCCGGTTCCCGGAGCACAGCTGGTCTGGTCCCAGCCCTCTCACAGGGGCCGCTCGGAGGGACAGCTATATAGACGCACTAGCAACACCCCGCTGCAGACCATACTGTAGTGTCCCAGCCATGTTCCACCTATTGCTGACGGCGGCGGCGGCGGCGGCGGCCGGAGGGGCGGCCCGACCCAGCGGAGTGAGGCAGTGGCTGGACGGCTACAGTGGCCAGCATCAGACGGGCAGCCTCATCACATACCACGACAGCGCCAGCAGCCTCGGCGGCTGGAACGACATCATGCGCTCCGCCTGCATCAACGGATTGTGAGTCAGCCCCTCTGAGAGGCTCTTAGCCTCTTACCAGTCGTTTTGCTGAGCTGGGCGTCTGTAATTTTAACGGACTGACAGTTGACACATCTTTGCATTTAAAGATGTTGAACTAACTTGAACTAAATGCTCGTAATCGTTAGCCGTTCCGAATATTCAATGTCGATAAATATCGTAGAGTTGGAATGCCAATGTAGTGCACATTAGATGTATATGAGTTTTAGCTATCAAACGCTCTTACTATGTACGACATCAAAATGAAACGTTGCTTGCGATGCATTTTCACATTTCAATATTTTCGAGCGAAAGTAACCACTAACTTTCATTTTATCAAAGATCGAGTTTCCCGAGCTTAATTGGGATCGAAGCGGCGTGAGCTCTGACCGTGACGTATGGGACCGGGATGAATTGAAGTTTTAAACGCCGACATGTTTATTGCAGCTGGGTGTTTTACGAGCACGATCAGTTCAACTACGAGTCTGGCAAGGTGCTGTGGGCATACGGTTTCAACTATTGCTTCACCTTCCGGGAAGATATGGATAAACAGGTGAGATGCCCTTAACTAAACGCACTAAACGCGTCTAAAATTAGACGCATGTGTCAGCTGTCATGTTATGCATTCGATTATGCTGAAGTTCTACATTTCTTTTTTATATTCACAACGTCGTCACCTACGACGCCTAAAAAAGTCAAAAGTCGTGACAGTGTGCGCAGTGCGTTTGCATTAACCGTTCACCGTCCAACCCGCGCAGACCGTACACAGACCATAGGTCAGTCGAGTGTGCGGTCCCGGCGTCCACCGTCTATCCTGCACGATAGACCGTCTATCCTTCACGATAGACCGTCTTTCCTGTATGAAAGACCGTCTTTCCTGCAGCACATGCGCTGGCTGACCGTGACCCCTGACCACATGTCTCGAGTGTGCAGTCTCCGCGTCCCCGTCTATCCTGCAGCACTTGTGACTGACCGTAACCTCTGACCACAGGTCTCCAGTGTGCGGCCGGTCGGACACCCAGTAGACGCCGCTGCCGACTCCCTCACACTGTTCGAGGGCACGCTCTTCTCGGGCAGTCAAGTGTTCATCGACGCGTCCGCTTATAACGTCTCCACAGGTCGGTAGCTGGTGCTATAGGCGCTAGCTTACTGTGAGAGAGGCCGTGAAGTAACTGAACACGGTCCTTCATTATACTTGACGAATGACGATAGAATGGATAGTTTGGATTCGTATATGAAAACTATTGACTCTGTCTCAAACTTAAGTGTACCAGCTCTCAGCTACGTGTCCGTTTCAATTTCATTCGTTTGTGTCCATTTAGGTCAGTTTCTTCATTTGTCTCCATTGCAGCCTACGGTTACCAGTCTGTGATAGTGACGGGGTAATTTCTGCCTCTATTACACCCTATGGTTGCCAGTCAGTGATATTAACGGGTGCTACTTCTGTCTCTGTTTTAGCGTACGGCTACCAGTCAGTGATAGTGACGGGCCCGGACGCGTGGACCATCTACTCTGGCGACAACTATACGGGCTACAGCGTGTGTCTGTACTCGGGCAGCGACAGCGCCGTCTCGCCCAGCGGACAGAAGATCACCTACGGCCTCTTCCCGACGGCCGACTACCTGGGCGTGGTGGGCTCCGACATCCGGTCGGCGCGCAAGGGATGCTACTCGGGGGTGACTCTGCGCGGCCAGCCGCTCACCGCCGAAAACCACATCTCCACTGTGGTGGAAGAGGAATGGGAAAAGGCTTTGGACAACGGCTTCGCCTTCGAACCATGAATCGTCTTCTTAAGTGTATGCATATTGTCTAGCTCTCTGTGACATTTGCCCAACTTCGTATATTTAAGCTGAGTGTTTTTGTTTTTATGTCGTCAACTGTAGTTGCTTTATCTTCTGTCCTGCTAAGTGTCAAATCGGAGGTGGTAGTCTCAACTCACATGTAAGTACGTTTTACGAAGGCGAGAGTCTCTGCTCGTTCATACTTTACGTCATGAACTCCCGGTGCTCGTGAAGAGAAGTCATCAAGCTATGTTTGAAGCCATTATCATTAACATTTCACGCTTCTAAAAATAATGTCAGGCTAGTACAGCTCCAATAAAATATCTTACAAATGTCATCTTCAGTGAGCTTTGTAGGCGGTTTGCCGTAATCGAAGGTCACACAGATGTATAGGTACTGACCGTGACGATAGGCGGGCCATATGGCCGAATCTCAGACACCGCCCTGGCAGAGTTCCCATCGCCACTGAGGTTCCAAGTATGGGACCGTCCTATCACGTGTCAGCAGCGATGGACCTCTGGGAGCCGACTGTATCTTATCTCGACAGCACAGGTGGATGGAGATGGGAGAGCAGGAGTGGCCTCAGTGACAGTCGCCGGCCACAGAGCCATACTCAGACCCAAAACCCCTCCCAGAGACCCGCCACGGATGTGGAATAAGGCGCAGATGCAATGCATGCAAAGCAGCAATTGAGACTTCGCACGAGATATCAAACGACAGCTATTTGGTAAAAACTCGAGCTCTGGGAAACAAACGCCTCCGGCCATGTCCGCGTTCCACTACTGCAGTGGCAAGTCCATCCTGCATTCGCGAAACGAATGTCTGTTACTACGACAAACGGACACTTCTTAAGTTGCAGAAGTTTAGCCTGAAGTTGCAGGCTAAACGTATGTCTAAAATGCATAAACTGGCGTCTTTAGCACAATCGAAAAAAAACTTAATTTGTACCACTTAGGACGCTGGCAAACTAAGCCAAGGTATAAATGGAAACGAATTGATGACGTGATATGAATTAATCCTTTTTATGAAATACAGCAATGTTCTAATACAAACAAATTTTATTCGCAGCTTTTATATTGTTACAAAACAATAAGTGAAAAACAGTATTGACCACAAACATTTCGTTATATTCGTACCAAATCTTTGTACTTGGATCACGCATGTGGAAGCAGGTGACAAAACACACGGACACAAAAATACTTTGGCATCGGCTGGCTGAGAGTCGCAAGATTCAGTTCCGGGGTCTTGTCCATTCTACATACAAAGGGCCCACACATAGCAGCACAGCGCTCGACCTAGAGAGCTAAATTCGGTTGGGAGTTCAACGGTCGTTTACCAAGGACAGGTACTTGGCAGTTGGCACTGTGATATTTCACAGGAATCTGGCTGACAAAAAATGAGACCCCCCGAAAAGACGCATCGAAACTAAAATAAAAATATGACTGAAAATGTTAAGGGGAATATCGCGAGAACAAAATACCGTCATGGAAAAGGAGGGGCAAACACTTCGGAAGGAATGACAGCAGCAAGCTAACCTGATAAAACGATGAGTGATACAAGAATATGTTATGAGGCAATGCCTAGCATACCACACACGGGTGGAAAATGGATGCCTTTGATTTACAGCATCCGCGAGACAAAATAAAGATGAAACATGAGATATATCACAAACATCACATTATAACTTAAAAAGTACAAAAAACTACTTCTTACGAGTGCTACATAAATATTACCTTAATAACGAGTACAAACACTGAGCACTTGGCAGTGTTTTTTTTTTTACGTTGTAGTCGACTAGGGAGTAGTATGGTTGGAGTCTTCTGCGTGACTCCCAGAGTCAGACTCGAGCAGTGGAGTCACCAGCAGTTTCAAGGCGTTGAGATCATCCTCTTGACGAAGCAAAACATCAATATCTGTGAGCCAAATGCCTGTACTGTAACGCTCTGCAGGCCGGGATTGGTTCACAAATACAACTGCCCGGCGTCCAGCATCCACCAATTATGCTCGTTAGTCAGGTCAGTTTATAGCTGAATTCTAGCCTCGACTTTCAGCTCAAACCAACCCTTCCTTCCAACCGAACTCGACAATTGCAGCATTTTGCTGATCGCAAGCGCCGTACGTTTCGATCGTCTCGTGTGCTATATTCGCAGACGCTGTCAGTGTAAACGGTCACCCAAACGGTCACCGCGCGCCCCGCCCCCGTCTGCCGTCACTGACCTTTGACCAGCCGGTCCCGCTGCCGGGTCACGGTGGCCAGCTGGCGGCGCAGCAGCTGCAGCCGCTCCGTCAGCTGCCGGCTGTCGGCCTGCAGCCGCTCGATGGTGTCCTCGTACTGGCGCCAGCGGTCGGCAGCCCCCGCCCCGCCGCCGCCGCCGCCGCCGCCCAGCAGAGGCTGCAGACGCGACATCTGCACAGCGGGACGGACGGGCCGCAGACGTCACATTCTATTCACCGTTAGAATAATCGTTTGGTGTCTGGATGCTATTCGTCAGAGGCACGCATCTTTCAAATACAAAAGTAACCTCACAGTGGATTAAAAGGCACAGTGTCCCAAAATTATGTTTTGGCTTGGGTGTCGGAGGGGAATATTCGTCACTACAAAGAGGGCTGAGAGTGAAAAATGCCAGTCAGAAAGGCACAAAAAGAGCGGAAAACAGGGGTCAACAATTTATTTGTTAATGTTATAGGATGTCGGAGCTGCCTTATAAGATAATTAAATCGAATATGGAGGGAAATGAAAGATACGTACAGCCACACGCAGATGCTCTTTATTGGTAAAATAGGGAGTGAAAAATTGCTCTTAGAAATCAGAGATGAGAGTGGAATATTATTGTGATTTGGATGTCACTTCCCACCCAAACTGGCGAGTTTTGGGACACTGAAAAGGCAGCATGTAAACGACCTTACCAACCGAATCATAAGGTGTACCTAAATAGACTCAGCATACCCAGGGTCTGGTCGTGGTAAAGGTTCAGCAGGCTAGTTAGGGAGGGGGGGGGGGACGGCCTTTCACCGCGCTGGTGGCTCACCTGCTGCTGGAGTCGCTCGGCCCGCTCCGTCTGCTGCCGCAGCTGGTGGGAGGGGGGAAGGGCTCACCTGCTGCTGGAGTCGCTCGGCCCGCTCCGTCTGCTGCCGCAGCTGGTGGGAGGGGGGGGGGGGGGCTCGGCGCGCAGGTGACTCACCTGCTGCTGCAGTCGCTCGGCCCGCTCCGTCTGCTGCCGCAGCTGGCCCCTCAGACGGGCCGCTGCAGACTCAGAGTCGACCAGTCGGCGGCCCAGCTGCAGCGAGTACTGGAGCCGGCGCCGGCAGCCGGCAGGCAGCGGCGGACCCGACTCGAGCAGCTCCGCACAGCCGTCACCGCCTGCAAACACACGGTCGCACACGGCGGATATTCAGGTAAGCGGGAGTGAATCTATTCCGATGAGTAAGCAATATGGCAAAATCTGTAAACCACCTAGCTCCAGCACTGAACGCGGAACACGTGCTGCATTGAATCCTTCTCTCGACCACAGCCCGGACGTACCCTCCGCGGCCTGAGCGATGAACGTGCCCCAGCTCTTCTCGAATGCCTCGTAGGCCTGTAGCTGCTGTCGGCACTCGGTCAGCTCCCGTTCCAGTCGGCTCCGCTCCGAGTCCGTCTCCGTCTGCCGCTGCAGCAGCGCCGCGTCCCGCTGCTGCGGGTAACGGGAGACGGACGGGGGTCAGTGGAGGGGTACGCAGAGGGAAGGGGGAAGGTCCGGTGGAGGTCACAAGACGAAGGAGTCACTGAAAGCAACCGATTTAAATGCGGATATCATTCGAGGTGTTGGCCACTAAATGTGCAATTATTCATCAAATGAGTCTACAATGGATTACGATCGACTGCTTTGGATATTGGATACCACAGACACGACTACCATAGCATAAGATAAGAGGCAAACCAAGAAGCGCTTGTAGCCTGAAAGTATCGGTACACACCGACCAGCTGTCTGAGCGTCCCTGCCCACCTGCAGCTGTGCGCTGAGCGTCTTGTTCTCCTCCCTGAGCGTCTCGGCCGCGCGCACCGCCTCCGTGGCAGTCACGTCGTACCGCTCCGTCTCATACTCGGCGATCTGGAGACGCGCAGACAGCTCAGCCAGCCGGGCCCGCTCGGAGGATAGCTCAGACTCGAGCCTGCCGAGTACACCACAGAGGCCGTTAGGATAGAGTGTGGGGAATAATAACTGCAGCAAGACAGAGCCATGCCGCCCGAGAGAAAACACCGACACAGAGCTGAGGATTCATTTTCAAAGTAATTGATCGATTAGCCAGACTGCATATCTCCGACGAACGTCGGCCCAACATGAGCAGATGATACTGGTTTTACCTTTAATAAGTAAGGATGAACCACCCCTTCCACAACCACCACGCAGCCAACAGGTCATTCACCCACCTCTCGACGCTCTGCTGGGCGGCCTCCCGCGCCTGCTGCTCCCGCTCCAGACTGCGGGCGTGCTCTGCGCGCAGCTCGGCCGTCTCTGCGGCGCGCTCGGCCAGCAGCTGCGCGCGCAGCTCAGCAACCTGCTGCTGGTGCTGGGCGCGCGCCGAGTCGCGCAGCGCCGCGTACTGGCGGCGCGCGGCCAGCTCGGCCTCCACCAGCTGCTCGGCGCGCACCCGCTGCCGAGCCGCCTCCTCCTCGGCCTCTGTGCAGCGAGCGGCCGCCTCCGCCAGTCGGCGGGCCGCCTCCAGCTGCTCAGACTCCAGCGACGCCACCCTGTCGAGAGAGGACGGACGCAGACAGCAACAGTCGTGAGTCGGGTCAGAGCACGAAAAGACGCCACGCCAGTTCTGTCAGAGCAAAAAGAGACGCCATACTTGACAGGCTGAACACGGGGGATGCAAAACCAGTACGGAAACAGCACGACTGCCGAGCTCCACTGATATCAACAAACGTCGGCATGTAAATTCGCCTTGAGCCCCCTCACCTGTCTCTAACGACCTTCAGCTGAGCCTCCGCCTCACCAGCTGCCTCCAGCTTCTGAGTGGTCTCGGCCAGCCGCGTCAGCGCCGCCTCCCGGTCCGCCTCGGCGCGGGACAGGCGCGCGGACAGCTCGTCACGAACGGCCCGCGGCAGCGCCGACTCGCGCAGCCGCTGGTGTGCCTCGGAGAGCTGTCGCAGCGCCGCCAGCTGCTCCTGCTGGGCGCGCTCCGCCTGCTGGCGCGTCTCGGCCAGCTCCGCACGCGTCGTTGCCAGCTGCGGACGGGCCGACTCGAGCTCGGCAGCCAGCTCCGCGCGCTCTGCCTCCAGCTGACGGCAGCGGGACTCGAGCGGCACCACGGCCTCGTGGAGACGCAGCTAGAGACGGAAGCGATGCAAGTAGTCGGACATCGCAACATAACAGATACAGGCACCACCAAGTCTGATCACACGGGTTTCGAACGTTTTCGAACGGGCGCGTTTTCGGGAACGTACTTCGAATCGAAAGCCTTTTCGGATTACGAGTAGGACTTATATATTACTAACTCAACTAAGAAAAGGCGGAAACACATTTCAGGAATACCTACATTGAAAAGTTCATATAACCCACTTTTTCGTTTTCACATTGCTCAAGCTTTTTGGTATTCCCTTAGGCAAAGAGCAAGGGGCTTGTATAATGTCGGATGGCCAAGACCATACGAGTCATGAGCGTGATGTAAAACCTGGCGGACATCGCCTTCGGGCCCGTGGACAAGCCAACGCTTCGCAAATCACACCCCATTCCCAGGGAACAGCCACTCACCGCAGCGAAGTCTTTGACGGACATTGCCTCCGTGTCCATGTCGGCGAGCTCTCGGTAGCGCGCCTCGTTGATGGTCAGGTGGAGCAGCGAGCGCTTCAGCTGGTCGGGCGTCACCTGCAGGCGGCTGTTGTCCTCCTCCAGCTGCCGCTGACGGGCCAGTAGCTGGTCTAGCTGCTGACGCAGCGACACGACCTCGGCCTCGTACTGACCCAGCTGGCCTGTCTGCCTGTCGGATAGCAGCGGAATAACAGCGGCACACACAGCGGGGAAAGTAACACACGATACCTCGGCCTCGTACTGGCCCAGCTGGCCAGTCTGCCTGTGATACAACAGCAGGAGTCGTGACGGCCTGGATAATAAATCTCAAACATAGAAAACATCAAAACAAGTTCAGTTCACAAGGCAAGAAGGGTGTTCAACTGACTTGACAATAGAGCCGTATTTAGGTCTCATGGTCCCAACAGCTGCATACACACTCACCTGATCTGGAGCATGTTCCTCTGGTGTTGTGCCTCGGCCAGCTGGTCCTCGAGCTCGTCCACCCGACTCTGCTGCTCCCTGCGCTCCACCTGACAGCGGCCGGACAGACGCCGTTAGTCAGAGAAGATCAGCAGGGCAAAACCAGTCAGACTGGCAGAGCCAGATACAGCCAGTGAGCCACGATCCGCCGGACAGCGCCCGAGAGGCATCGCCAGACAGGACAAAACAGATGCCTTCACCATTTGGTCAACAGATACTGTCATGCAGACAATCAGGCAAGCAAAGCCAGACGGGCATAGCCAGACTCAGGCAAGTAAAAACGATGAACCCGTCATCTTATCGATGAAGATGAATGAAATATTTGGATAATGTTAGTATCACCTTCGGGAGTTCGGAGCTGTCCCGATTCCGTTTTTTCGAGCACCGGCACGTAGGAAGGTACCCAGTACCCACCATTTCGCCAATGAATGCCGACGGGTAGCCGGTAGGTGCCCACCATCTCGTCACTGAGAGCCGGGACGGCGCGAGCCGCGTACACCCACCTGTCGCTGGTGTGTCAGCTCGGCCAGCTCCACCCGCAGCAGCTGCAGCTCGTGCATGAGCCGGGCGCGGTGGGCGGTGGCGGCGGCGGCGGCCGAGGGCGAGCCGCGCTCCCGGCCGCCGCCCTCCGAGGACACCGTCAGGTCGGTGGGCACCGTCGAGTCGTCGGCGGTGCGGTGCGGCGCCGACTCGGACGTGGTGGTGGTGGTGGTGATACATCCCGCGTCGGACATGGCGGGGAAGTGCTTCCACCTCCGGCCCCACAGAAGAACTTCAACCGTGAAACTGCTGAAATGAAGAAGTATGAGCTAGCTGAGAAGAATTAAAGAAGTAAAGGGTACAAATTCCCTATTTCTTTTATCATCTATCCCTATTTTCTGGTGTAAGCAGGGCTTCAGTTGAATTGCCAATAATGGTAGATATTCGGCATGTGCATGAAGATGAAGTACATGAGCTATGTAATGGTAGGTTGTAGGTTGGTGGTGGCCTGGTGGTAGTTTGGTAGGTTGCAGGTATGTAGGTTGTAAGAAGGTTGGTTGAAGGTTAGGTTAGGTCAGGTCAGAGGGCTGAGGCTTTTGTTAACCCTGATGTATTGATAAAATTAGCACTGATGAGGTTATTAGTGTACTGTATAGTATTATACCATGGCGGCATGGCCAATTACATGTAATATATGTATTTAATTATTTTGACAAAATTTCACCACACCAATTGGCAATTGAAGCAACACACTTTTAGTTTGTCATTAATTTCAAAATACTAACAGTAACTTTACTCCACTCCATCCAGGAAATCAAAGGACTCAACGACTCAAATGTTTACCTGGCAATCACTAGTATTCTTACCTCGTCTTACCAGTCGCCAGTCGTCAACAATTTTCAAATTATTCAATAGATTTCCGCTTGGATTTCCGTCTCTCAGACTCAGCCCACACAAAAACAAAAACGCAATTCAAAATGTTTTGTTTATCTTTTTCGATTTTGATATTTGAAACAAACGCGCCAGTTCTGACTCAAAAATAATTGAGTGACTGCCACCAAATAGAAGAAGTACCAAACCGATGCTAAACACCATGATAAGGGGCTATGCTGAAGCCTGAAACTAATAAAGTGAATTATGTTCTGAGCTTTTTTGGGGACATTTGTCAAGTCTAATTATTTATTTTTTTGGTGTTAGAACTAGAACAAAGTTCACTCCCTTTTTGCAAAACACAATTAAACACAGACGCCCCAGCCAAAGCTTTATGAAAGGGACCGTACTCAGCTCACACGTTTGCTGTGCAGTGACGTGCATATCCATATATTTGGGTCGGGTAAGGTTCGTATTGGAACTTCGAGCCACAAATGCATCTCTTTTCTATTTGTGAAATCTGCAGCCACTTCGCTTTGGAGTTTGGGCTGAGTGAGTAACGACGACCAGAAAATATAGGACCTAAGTCAACCTAGCCTCGTTACGGGATGTGAATGTCCCTTCGGCACTGATCAGGAGTTATTTATCTATCAGTTTATTTGAAAAACACGCACGTCCAAACCAATGCATTGACAAAAGTACTAATGCCTTTTGCAGGCTGTTACAGCACCCCCAAATGACTCTCCGCATACGAGAGGTATACGTCGACCACTAAACATCTCCCGAGTAGGTACTCCTCGGTTGCAACACTGTACAGTACAGATCACCAGTGTGCTGTTGATGTTGAACCGGTAAATACCTTCGCAACCTCGCCCCTACGACCTGTCAGACCACCTCCACTCAGTCACTGCACTGTCCGGTGTGACACCCCTCCACTCGGTCACACAGCTCATGGCGTGGCGGCTTCTTCACTCGGCCACACCAGCCGAGCCGCCGTTCCCCGCGGCGGCGCTGGTCGAGCCGCCGCCCTCCGAGCGCTCGGCACAGGCGGCCCGCAGCGCCTGGTCCAGGTCGGCGCAGAGGTCAGACGGACTCTCGAGGCCGATCGACAGACGCACCATGGCTCCGGTGATGTTGAGACTGTCCAGCTCCTCCTTCGAGTTCCGCACATGCGTCGAGAACGTGCTGAAAATGATCGACAGCGCGAGTCAGACCTTAGGTACGGAAAACCGAGTCCGACTGCAAAGGACATTTCTCCGTCATTCAGAAAGATATACCGTTCTAACTAATAATGCATTCTAGTCATGTTATACTTTTCACTTCCATTTGTACTTATACCCTTATGTTCGTCAATTTGGTATTGGGTCGCCTATTTATAGCGACAGGCCAGAAATAGCGCTCAAAAGATCGCCATCTCTAAAGATATCTAAGAACATAAGCATTTTTGCTGGTTCGGAGGCTTATTTAGACCGACCCGAGAGATCCATACATCTCGTGGCTCTAGAAGTCAATCGAATATAAATATTAGTTACTCTGCACGATACGAAACTATCTTTTTATGCGTAACGAGTCAGCGTGATGACCTGCAAGGCCGAGGTTTGAGGCTGCTGACTAGGCCTGAGGCTGCTACTCACGGTCCCACGGCCAGACTCTCGTAGCCCCCCAGGCTGCCGGCCATGGTGAACAGCTTCAGCTGGCGGAAAAACTCCATGGCCTCGGGCCGACCGCCACGAATGTAGAAGCTCAGCATACCGCTGCACCCGTAGGCCTGCCGCTTCACCAGCTCGTGCTGACGACACAATCATCCATCATGTCATGAAACACTTTTGGTAGGTTTGTATTCACCAGCTCATGCTGACGGTCGAACGTACAGAGTGGGCTCTGCGACTGTCATCTATGGCAAGACGGCCAACTGTCGTTTTTAGTAGCATCGGCCGTAGTAGATTGTCTACCTGGTTATAGTTCCATTTTGCTTTTGAAAAAGGCTGTTGGAACTGTCTTTTTTACCTTTTTAACTTTAACTCGTGCATGAGGTAAATAAATACCTATCGGAATAATGCACCGTCAAATGCCTAAGATAATCGCAAGTATATAATTTATAAAAAAGCAGATCTCGATGTGATGTCGATGTTACTCTTCACACCGTACCTCATGGGCACAGCAACTTATACATAAGACACAGACTTGTGCTTTCTCAGGCAGTCAGCCTATATAATCATATCTGTCATACCTGCGGGTGGGACTCGAGGCCGGGGTAGAGCACCCTCTCCACGTGCGGATGGTCCTCGAGGAACTTGGCCACGTGCAGTGCGCCACGCATGTGATGCGGCATGCGCACGTGCAGGGTGCGCATACCGCGGAAGGCCATGTAGCAGTCGAACGGGCCCGGCACCATGCCGGAATCTGGGACGTTGTAAAGACAATAGAGCGTTAGGAGGTCCTCGGTGGGCTAAATTGCCGGAATGTCCCATAAACGGTCGATTTATTATGTAAACAGAGGCGTCTCAAATAGCAGCATCCCAACGATACTTGCTATGCAAAATAATTTCTGCGATTTGCCCATCATAAAAAATTAGATTCCGGTGAACCACGAGAAGACTTAAATATATGACGACTGCTGACTACGACTCCCTCCTCACGGCTGCCGGCCAGCAGACCGTGGAACAGGCCCTCCTTCCCCCCGGCCCCCACCAGCCGATCCTTCCCCACCGGTCCCACTTGCCCCTCTCACCGATTTGAATAAGATCTCTCACCGATCTGTATGAGATCTCTCACCGATCTGAATGAGCTTCAGCCGTTCGTAGAGGTCCTCTCTGTTGGTGGCCACAGCGCCCATCACCACGTCAGAGTGACCGTTCAGATACTTTGTGATCGACTCGATCACAATGTCGATGCCAAAGTTCAGCGGACGCTGTAAAAGGAACACTTATATCTACGAGAAACGTATTGCCATAATAGTTAGGTTACATTACTCATTAAATTGTTTTGATTTTGGCTTCTACATTTATATTTGGTGGGAACCTAACAACATATGCCTCTGTTTGAGCCGAGTTATAACGCGTACACAATCACCAAACGAATAACTTGGCCGATGACTTTAATTACAGATTATCGACAGTGTATAACATCGAAACAATAATAGGTCACAAGATAGTGAATGCGCAAAATAACTCAATAAAAATGTTGAAAACGCGATATTGTACTGAAAGACTCCAATAGGTAAGCAAACTTAAAGGGCTTATCTGCCGCTAGGGTGTTTTAGACCGCCGCTAAAGGCGTTGCTGGTTTAAACGGTTCATTTACGCCTCCGATTAGTGATGTCAGTTACAGAAAATCGGGATACCGATACCAAACCAAATACCAATAATAACCATAGGAAAATACCAAAACTAAACCAACTTCAGAAACTGAGGGAAATACCAACTTTTTACCGAATTCACAACCTCTTTTACATTAGCGACGATTCACAATACCAACAAAATACCAAATGCATTAGCCTTAAAATCCAAATACCAAGTTGGTATCGGTTTGGTATCGGTATACCAAAAAGTTGGTATCCGATTGACATCTCTACCTCCGACCCAAACCATCCACGATGAATATTCTACATAAAGCATGAGGTATATCAGTCGAGGAGGGGACAGCCCAGAGCGAGAGACGGACCAGCCGACAGACCTGGAAGTAGGGCGACATGAAGGTGTTGTCACAGACGGTGATGATGCCCGGGTGTCGGCGGCAGACGGCCACCACCGCCTCCAGGTCAGCGATCTTCATCGTCGGGTTCGACGGCGTCTCCAGGTAAACCATCTGACGGTGACGGTGACGGTAATGGTGGTGATAATGGTGATGATGGTGATGGATGATAATGCTATTTGCGTTTTGTTAGCTGGCTACAATTACGGTGTCAATCCGTCTCTCCGTCCGTCCGCATGTCCGTCCGTACTTCGTTCGTATGTCCGTCCGTCCGTCCACCCGAACGTCCGATCGTCCGTATGTCCATATTTCCGTCCGTGCTCTGTTCGTATGTCCGTCCGCCTGTCCGTCTGTCCGTCTGTCCGTCTGTCCGTCTGTCCGTCTGTCCGTCCGTCCGTCAGTCCGTCCGTATGTTCGTCCGTTCGTATATCGGTATGTCCGCTCCCCGTCCCACCCCTACGATCGTCGGTCTGCGCTGGTCGCGCGTGGCGGCCGATTCGCGACAGTACTGTGGCATGTGTGGCACGTGTTACACGACACCGTCCCCCACGGGGGAGGGGGAGGGGGAGAGGTCTGCCGTCCTGGGCCGGCGGCTGGCCTGTGAAGGCTAGGTTGATGCAGTTATGTTCCATGTCACTCTTACGACACAGATCCACCGCACATGGAGTCTGGTAGGACTGGAAGGGCCAGGCCGGCTCGGCGTCTGCTGAGGACCATGGGGCCGCGTCGATAAGAGTAGTTATAACAAGTCTTTTTACCGTTTACATAACATGCAGTCAGTGGACGACTTGAGAAATGATGTACAACCGTCTGGCCTAGCAAGTGTAATTTATGGCATCTATAATGTAGTTATTTTTCGCTTTGTTATACCCTAAATCACATGAATAGTGCCGGCTTACGCGCGCTGCTAAAACGTTGAGAGGCTCACATTTCGTACATCTCACTGGTCACCACTCATTTAGTATCTGGCAAGCCTATACTGACCTTGGTCTGCGGAGTGATGGCGCTCTCGATGAGGGAGGCGTTCCGGGCGTCCACGTAGCTGAAGACGATGCCGGTCCGCTCTGTGTGGTGCCTCCAGAGCGTCGTCGAGCCGCCGTAGACGTCGTCGCTGACGACGATGTGGTCGCCGGCGCTGAGCAGCATGGTGGCCGCCTTGACGGCGCTCAGGCCGGCGCTGAACGCCAGCCCTGCCCGCGGACGGGGGCGGAGACTGAGAGCATGGGGATCCCAGAACGGCTACACTCAGAAAACACTTTGAGAACATTTTTGAATAAGGGCTCATATGAGTGCAAAAACAGGGCTCAAATCTGTATGATTTTAAAATCGGTATCAGTTAGGCGCCCTTTTCGGGCTCAAAGTACATTAGCCCCGAAAGCGGCTTCAGGTTGTCTTCCTTTTCGGGCTCAATTCGGGCTGCGTTTTAGGGCTCCATACGGCATTCCGCCATTCCGTCTTTTGCTGTTTTCAGTGCCATGTGTTGGTGTACCTACCGCCGTGATTTCAAAATGAATGGTAAGTTATTAGTTATCAGTTATCGCTATCTTTTAGAAAAAAATCAAGATGTTGATGCTCATGCCATTTTAATCCCTTATCAATTATAATTGTGGTGGCATTTGTTCAGAAAAGGTCTGATCTACAATTGTGGCGCCGTTGATACGAATACGCACGGGTTTGATTATTCGTTTTTCTTGTATTTTCGCCACATGAAAGCATCATATCTGGATTCAGGATGTCAAATAGTGTAAGAATGTGCAAAATTTTTGTCTGGTTCTTCGTGATGATGTGATTGAAGCAATGCTTTCAAGGGTAGGTAAGGATTTTGTTACTTGTTCGTAATTGGTTATCTTGATGCTCAACTAAAATTAATCCTAACCTTGCCTACTAACCTATTAAGTTAAACTTAGTACCAATACCTACCAACCTACAACCTATTTGGATCTTTCATATACTTATAACATGCTGCTGCTTCTGCTAGCATGCTGCGGAATGCTGGTTGACATGATGGAATGCTGGTATCACAGTGTTCCATGTTTCAGAATTTTAGGTGAATAACCACACATGATGGGGAAAATATTTTCATCCTAAAAATATGACAAGTGGCTTTATTTCATCTTTGCTAAAAAAATATGTCAAAAGTTTGATTCAACAGCCAGCTCAGTCGGGGAAACTATGGTAAAATCTGCTATTTTTAGCAGTCTGCTATTTTTAGCAGTCTGCTATTTTTAGCAGAAATCTGCTAAAAATGGGTACGCAAATAATGAATTTGAAAATAGTCGGATCTGAACAAAAATAGCAGAGAACACTCTCAGCACTATTCTCATCATGAATCTGCCAGGCATTTGATGCGCATTTGCTTCAATTAGGGTGCAGATCTGCTTTTGTATGGGGCCGTACCCAAATCTGCTATATTTGGGTACGATGACGTCACATGCGTACCCATTTTTAGCAGATTTCTGCTAAAAATAGCAGACTGCTAAAAATAGCAGATTTTACCATAGTTTCCCCGACTGAGCTGCCAGGTTACGCATGACTTGACAGTTGATGCATCTACTCTACATCATTTCATTTCAGATCCTGTGAAGGTTCTGACAAAATCTGAGGTAAAAAAATGGCATTATGCAGTTTTGCGGAAAGACTAAATCTATCTCATTTTGTCTTCAGATTTTTTTTTTGGGACACCCAATTGAAATCCAATTTTAGAACACTGTGACACCATGCCTGTGTGCCAAGTAAGAGGAAGGGTCTACAAGTATACATCAAGATAACCAATTATGGACAAGTTGAGACTTGAGTCATCAGCTCTTATTTGTGGTTACAATACCTTCAACTGCATGATTTTGCACAACTTCCATACAGGCATCCAGACTGGAAAAGGTTCAAGTCCATACTTATTCTGGTGCTTGAATATGACAGTTCAAAGATGGAAGGCATATGATGCTACAAAATGAAAAAAGTAATTCAACTTACAAAAAATAGGTACTCATATCTATCCTAAACTAAACTAACCTAAACTTACCTAACCTAATCCAACCCAACCCAACCACCCCATTCCAACCAGCCCAGCCCAGCCCAGCCCACCCCAACCCAACCCAAAACCTACAGTCTAAAACCTAGAGCTAAAACCTGCAGCCCAAACTGGAAAACATCCATATGGTACGCCGGACGCCCGTGAAGCCGTCATGCGCCGAAGTTCGGCGCAAGCTATTTTGCAATTTGCGCTGAAATTTCTGCATTATTTGCGCCGAAGGTTAGTGCCGTTTTGCGTCAAAATTAAGCCACTTATACAAAAAGCACGTTTACATCTGCTGGCCAAGGTTTTATAAACCAGACAGAACGCTCTGGGCCTTAACCACTCCTGACTCCCATGTTTGAGCGTCCAAATTAGTTGATGTTTCCATGGAAGCTGAATACCACAATACGTGTAGCGCACTGTAGCATCGTGCCGTGAAATAAGGCTCGGGACGGAAGTTCCGGGGTCACAAAAATTGAAGTGGCGGTGTTGTCGCGGCTGACGGGCGCCAGCAAGGGGTTTAAGTTTACGACACCATTCTTGTTTCAGGAGAGGTGTCAGCGATTCGAGACTACTTGGGCATGCGGGCAGCGGGGTCGGCGTGGCTGCCTGCGGCTGCGGCCACACATCTTGGCGTCCTGGAGGCGGAGATGCTGATGGTGGCATGAGTCATCACTGGCTGCCCGATTTCCATGCTCCAAGACTCGCCGTGAGGGCAGAGGCGGGCGTCGTGCCGATGGAGAGATGAGGAGGGATGCGCTGGCATCGCGCCTACTGGCGAAGGCGCTCTCCCTCCCGTCGGAGGACCCGCCGCGTCGTGGCGGAAGCCCCCCCCCCCCCAACCGTGACTGAAGTCAGTGACCGGCTGGAGAGAGCGCGGGGGAGCGGTGTGGGACCACTGGAGTGGCGCTGCCCGCCGAGGCGCGCTTATCCACGAGACTGCCCCCGTAGACGCCAACAGACGGCGTCACGGTCCACCTGGACCGGCTGCCGATCGGGGCGTCCGCGACAGCGAGGAGGAGTGCAGCTGCGGAGGCGTGCCTGGGAGCGCTCCCCCAGCGTGCGACGTGGGCCTGGGTCGACGGGTCTGCGACCGGGGGAGTAATAGGAAGGCGGCGCTGGGGTCCTCACCGAGCACCCAGACAGTACAACATTGGTACTGCGGGAGGCGGCGGGGAGGATCTGCTCCAGTTACCGATCTGAGATGGTGGCGCTCAAGACGGCAAAGCAACATCTGGAGCACCCGTCCTTCGAGGAAGACCCCATAATCATTTGCTCCGACTCGCAGGCGTCGCTGGCGACGCCACGAGGTGGACAAGTGGCCCAGACACCCCCCCCCCCTCATCCCCTAGGTGCCGCCATCTGGGAGTATATGATGGCCCTAGTGGCTGTAGGGGGCCGAAGAATCCACCATAGAAGGAGGGCGGCGATAGCCCGATTAAGCTGGGCGTCCAGTTGAGCCTCGGCTTTATCATGGGCATTGGGCAAGGACTCTGCGAGCACCCCCGTCTCCTCCATCTTCGACGGCACTCCAGTCAGAAAGCTGTCCCCACCCGAGTTTCCCAGCAGCATGGGCCACATGAAACCGAACAGCGCCGAGCCGCTCGACGCTGAGGACCAGGCGAGAGGAACAGTGAAAAGGTGAAACGCTCGAAACGGCGCGCGCCGCCGGCCGAGGGCGCCGAGCCGGCCCAGGCCGGCTGCGGGTCAAACAGAAGCCGTCTCTGCGGCGGCCGCCCAGTGACAGCGACTCGGACTGACGTCGAGGCACCGCTGCCGCCTCCGCCGACCAACCCGCCGCCCAGCAAGGGCAGTTTGAAGGCGGCTGCGCCGGTGAAGGTGGCGCGGCCTGGCAGGGGCCGCGGCCGGCCCACTCCCAGCTACCCGTCCCGCGAGGTGCTCAGTACCACCGACTCGTCCGATTCTGAGGCAGCGCCGTCGGCGGGCCGCCGCCAGCAGTGACGACGACCGGCTGGCGGCGTTCGCGCGGGACTTGTCCGACTCCTGGTACTCGGACTTGCCGCCCAAACTGGACGCCGGCGGCGTGAGCACCAGCAACGCCAATAAAAAGTCCACCTTCATCCGGCTCTTCTCGCACCGTGTCAAAAGGACTACGCCGCGCGGCCGGCAGGCCAACTCGAATGAGCGCAGCGAAGGGCACACGTCCCCGACGGCGGCACTGGCGCCTCCCGCCGCGCCGCTGCCGGCGTTGCTGGCAACGCCGATCCAGGCCCATCGATTTCTACTGTTTTGTTGCCTACGTGCCGCTGCCGCCGCTCAGCCAGCACAATGGCGTGCCGGTGTTGCGCTGTCGGATCGAAAAGCGGCTCGTGCAGCGGACGGACGGGTGCGGCCCGCGCGATGAGCCGCCGCCGCACACCGAGCTGCGCCGCGCGGACGTGAAGGTGGAGCTGGCAGCGGCCTGCTCAGTCCCCTCAACGGCGTCGACCGGCTCTCCGGCGATTTGCGGTCAGAAACGCCGCCGCTTCTGGGACCCTGCACCCTGGGACCAAGGTGTCAGAGCGCGGCGCGGAGCGGAGCGCGGTTTTTCAGTTCATAGAACTTTTTCCCTGGCTATTACACCCCACAACCGAACACTGACACCTTGCACAAGTATGACTGTGTGTATGAATGTTAATAAATACATGAACCAATGTTGTGTTTTCGGTTCCAGTACCTTCTAAGTACTCCGTTAGCTTTGCCACACCTAAGATAGGCTCCCACGTTGTTATTTGCTCCCGGGTTAACATAAACCGGTTTAACGTAACTTTTGCATCCCGGCCAAAATTGCCGGGTTAACTGTCCCACCGCTCGAGACTGGCGCTAGGCTGGCCGAGCAAAAATAAAAAAGTTTGTCCGCGGCTTCGTCTTATTCGCAGCTGCTGGACACGGGGGAGGGGGGAGGAGGGGCTGCATCGGACGAAAAGCGGACTCTGGTATTAACTGGATTTTTTGCCAGCTGGCGCCGTATGGTGGCGCTAGCAGAGCTTCTTACATATCAATGCTAGATTATAGATATAAAAGAATAAATATTTACCAATCAATTTTTCATTTGAAGCCATTTGAAATATTTATGTCCATCCTACTACCGCGCTTATATCTAAAATTAAATACCTTTCGTGCGTCGCCAGCTGGCCAGCCAGCTGACGCAATCCAGTTTTTACCAAAGCCCCGAAAAGTGAGATCAGGTGAGCCCTAATATTGGCTTCACCACACAATTTGAGCCCTCAAACTGGATTCAGGTGAGCTCGAAAATGGGGATCGGGCTGAAAACTGGCTTCATAGTGAGACTAGTTTTGAAGCTTGACACCGATAATGGGTACTGACTGAGCTCTGTTTCTGCGATCAATGATACCGATTTAAGGGATCGTATGAGCCCATGTGGCGTTGCTCAGAAAGTATTCTCGAAATGTGCTGTCTGTTTTGAATATGGTACATTAGCCCGAAAACTGGTCTCTGAGACCGAAAATGGGGATACTGTTTTCTCAGTGTAGCTACGCGTAGTGGAACAGCGGGCGCCATAGACAGACCCAGCTGAATGGTAGTGGACCCCCAGGCTAGCCGTTAGGTCTCGGCACTAGAATTAACTGGCTGGCCTGGCCATTCGACTAGGCAGTGAGCCTTCAGCCGTAACAAGCTCCCCACTCCCCAGTCCCCAAAACGACCGGTCGGCGGGGCAGCCAAGGCAGTGCGCTCTTTCACCCCCACCCCTTACCAACGGTTCCAAGACGGCTGCACTGAGCGCACCTAATGGCCAGAATTCCACACACACAACACATGTTTACTTTCGCACAGGTCTGTTTTCCGGAGGAATGTATACACTATACATAAACCGCATACCTTCTTTTTCACGGAAGTTTATAGTTGTCGTTAACATTTATAATTATGCTGCCCAGCATAATTATTTTAAGTTATCATTTATTAATCATGTTAGTAAGCGTCTGCAGCCGTCTAAAGCAAGACGGCTGCTCAATTACCGTATTTTCCATCTTCCAGCTTTGCGATGGCCTTTTCAATGATCAGTCTTGATGGGCTTCCCAGGCGAGAGTAAACGAACTCCTGCAATATGTGCACCGGCACCGGCGACCGAAAGTTAAATCAGCGTCAACACTCAACGGTGTCATAATTACCGAATTATAACCAGGGTGAGACCGATTGCACGTCTAAGCCAATAGTCAACATTTAACGCTAACTAAACGTTTTATAAAGGATCTTTCCATCCCATCACCAACCGGTCAAAAGTTTCTCTCTGAACAATGCATTCCAATGTCTAGCAATGTAACTGCGATTTAACTATTTACAAATTATTAACGCATTATTATCACAGCTATGTCACACTGTCATCAGGTGTTTAGGTTATTAAGCTGACGTCCCACTGACCGTCGCTGAGCTCGCTAGCACATATTTGTGCGTTATTTCACCCTTTATTGTATAAATATTGCAGGCGAACTCACGTCCCACGCGCCGCCGGGCTTCATGCGGTACGTGGAGGACAGTGTGATGGGCGGCACGATGGCGCCGTGCGGTATACACGTCTCGTCCAGGCCACTGTGCACCACGCGCGTGGCAAAGTGCTCGTCCTGCGGCAGGTAGCCCTCCACAGACATGGCTGACAGCTGAAACATGACGATAGTCGGACACACAGTAAGGCTCGTGCAGATACCTAAACGAGGCAGCGGTGACGCGGTCCATCCCCTGATTGACAATAAATATAGTCGTATGGTGGTCAATAAAAAGCTACGTACATATCACTTTCTACCCTAGCTCCTAGTGCGTAATCCACTACCCATAGCTAACACATTCAATACTGAAGGTGTAAATGATTTGCTAGGCCTATCATAATTCGAGCATCGCTAGCTGTTCAGCGCTGACACACCGCTGACTGCACTCACTCCAACTGCTGAGTTCAAGTCTAATACACTCACTCAGTAGTCAGTATAGGGTCAGTCGCGACAGCAATATCTCTGCTGACTAGAGCATGAGCTACCTACGTTTATATGTAGATACCCTGGGCAGTGGGCTGGTCTAACAGTCATCGGGTCATGATTATATTTCGATGAGTTTAACTACTGAGCTGTTGATTGTTTCAATAACACCGCTCAGCTGCCGTACCGATAACTTATGCGCTAGTTATTTTTATTTTTTGCAGTAGGTACGGGGACTTAAAGATAGTAAAGATAAACCATGACCTTTGGTGACCTGGTGGCCCATTGCTGGCGCAATTTTTTGTCACCATGAAAATTGAGATACGCATTAATACGCATTAAAACGCATCAATACAAAAAATAATGATGCATTTGAAACGTCCGTAAACGGCTATATACATTTCACATTCATCTCACTTTCAAGCCTTTTGCGAACACTGAAGGGCGAAAACGTGGTTTATCGGTCATGACAAAGTAGTGAGTTCTCTCACCTCAGAGTCAGGAGCCGGGATCTGCAACACGTTCCACACAGCGAGTCTGACGAACCGGGCCTCCGCTCCGGGGTCCTCTGCTGGCAACTATTAGCTGTCCGAGGTGTCCGGGCCTGAGACGGCACTGCGGGGGCCATCTGCCGGGAGGGACCACGGCGGCCGACACAGCCGGTACACGCGGGCGGGTCTGTCCGCCAGCAGAGAGGAAACAGTAAACTGTGTTTACAGCTACTCAGCTATGTTTACATATGAAATAATGGCGAGTGCATGTGAACATGGTGTTTGGAATACGAGAAGATGTGTTTGTTTTTAATGTTTTTCAGCGTTATCAGCTCACTCTAGTGCAGAGAGCATGGTGCTCGTTTTTACCCCAAAACTTTAGATCAGTTAGGGTCCGACCATGCTGTTTCCCTGAGCCGTTGAAAAAAAGAAGAAGATTAGCCAATGCCATTGCCGGCAAGCTTAGGTCTCAGATCAGCCAGCCCATTTTGTTGCCAGGTCAACAGCTAAAGTAGTCTGACAGTCAGTAAACCAAAACAATCGAAGCTTCCTTGTTCGGGTGTTTGAAGCTACGCTACATGATAGAGGCCGAAATCTTGGAAATGGTATAGACGACTGCACTTATCAACGTATAGCCTATAGGTAGTCACCAAAATAGTTCGAGGCCTTTGTTAAACACAATGACCATATGACCTTGGATCACCACCTATAACATTTTCTCCACACCTGCGAGACCTCAGACCACACTACCGAGAACGGGGACGTGAACAGCAGTTAAATATTTTAGTCTACAAAATTAATTGATGGGAGAGGAGACTGATATGCTGCAGCCTAAATACAATACAGGAACACCTGAATTCAGGAGACGAGCACTTAAGTGCTCGTCTCCTGAAAGACTAAGACGAGCACTTAAATGCTGATGTTTTTTATCTTCTTGGAACTAACCCGCATACCTGGCAGACGGAGAAGCCCGTGCGGCGTGCAGCGTGCACCAGAAGACAGAAAACATTCGGGTTTCACAGTGTTCTCCATGGACCGGTGGGGACAGCCTAACAAGCCAGTGCGTCCTGACAGGCTGAGCTATGGGTTAGCGGCGCTAGGCCCTCAATCAACGGGCTGGGACAGCTGGACCAGTAACTCTGGGTAAATGGAACCGGGGCACACACGGCGTCTCAGACAAAACATTAGCTAGATAATTGGTTATCAGTGCACCTACATTGCAGAATGAAGGTGCATGTCAGATCAGTCAGATGAATGCTCTTGGGCCAATGAATGGCGTAGCCTGAAAATGATTTTATCATTTCATGATACCTATTTTCGAACTCTAAGCCTAAGCAGTGGCGCACCCAAGGGGGGGCCTTGGGGCCCGGCCCCCCCCCCCGCTCGGTCATAATTAGGAGGCCCCCTGAGCACCGCTTAGGGTACTTTTACACTTGACTTTCCTGCCTAACCTACTATAATTCTGCACAAGATGCACTATCTGGGCAGAGGCCAGGAGGCCCCCTCTGGTAGGCGACCCTTGATGGGCAGGAGGCCCCTTCTGGATGTGAGGCACCTTCTCACAGGAGGCCCTATCTGGGCAGGAATCAAGAGGCCCCCTCTGGCAGGAGATCCTTCATGGGCAGGAGGCCCCCGAGGCTCCCTCTGCACAGGAGGCCCCCTCTGGTAAGCGACCCTTGATGGGCAGGAGGCCCCGTCTGGCAGGGGACCTTTTATGCACAGGAGGCCCCTTCTGGATTTGAGGCACCTCTCACAAGAGGCCCTATCTGGGCAGGAATCAAGAGGCCCCCTCTGGCAGGAGATCATTCATGAGCAGGAGGCCCCCGAGGCTCGCTCTTCACAGGAGGCCCTTTCTGGACAGGAGCAGGAGGCCCCCTCTGGCAGGAAAGCCTTTATAGGCAGGAGGCCCCTCTGGCAGGACACCTTTTCTGCTTAGTAGGCCCCTTCTGCATGGGAGGCTCCCTTCTGCACAGATGGCCCTATCTGGGTGGGAGCCAGGAGGCCCCCTCTGGCAGGAAATCTTATACTGGGCAGGAGGCCCCCTCTGGCAGGAAATCTTATACTGGGCAGGAGGCCCCGAGATTTCCTCTACTTAGGGGCCCTTTCTGGGCCGGAGTCAGGGGGCCCCTCTGGCCTCTTGCAGGAGACCCTTTCTGGGCAGGAGGCCCTCTCTGGATGGGAGTCTCTCTCTGCATAAGAGGACATATCTTGGCAGCAGTCAGGAGGCCCCTCTGCACAAAATGTCCTATCTGGGTAGGAGCCAGGAGGCCCCCTCTGGCAGGAGATCCTATATGGGCAGGAGGCCCCGAGACTCCCTCTGCACAGGAGGCCCTTTGTGGGCAGGAGCCAGGAGGCCCCCTCTGGCAGGAGACCCTTTATGGGCAGGAGTCCCCTCTGGCAGAGGACCTTTTATGCTTAGGAGGCCCCTTCTGGATGGGACGCTCCCTTCTGCACAGAGGGCCCTATCTAGGCAGGAGCCAGGAGGCCCCATCTGGCAGGAGCTCCTTTATGGGCAGGAGACCCCGAGGCTTCCTCTGCACAGGGGCCCTTTCTGGGCAGGAGTCAGGAGGCCCCTCTGGCCTCTTGAACGAGACCCTTTATGCCCTCTCCTGATGGAAGGCTCCCTCTGCACAAGAGGCCCCTTCTGGCAGGACTCTCTCTGGATCCCCTCTGGAAGGAGACCGTCTCTGGGAAAGAGGCCATCTCTGGATAGGAGGCCCCTCTTCACAAGAGGTCCTATCCGGGCAGCGCCTCGCCCTGGCAGGGCATTTTTCATAACGCGGCCTGGCAGAGGGGGGGGGGGTCGATGCGACCCCCCTCGCGATTGCATCCTATGGCACCTAGAAATACCAAATTTGGTAGGTAGGTGGCCCTCTTAAAATCCTCGTCCCTGTGCAAATTTGGTTGCTCTGTCGTAGCGAACCTTGGGTTCAGCCGCGCTTACGCGTGAGGCTCCGTTCTCTGGGCACAGTCGCTGTCAAACCGAAGAGCTATTTCTAACGAGCTCGGTTGGCAGGGACCAATGCTTTCAGGAACTGGCGCACCTCATATGTACGCCGGCTGACCCGGTATCTTGTGTCACGCTTGGCACAGACCACCCAGTATAACTTGGGATGTGTTGATGAAAATACACGCAGTGTTCCGGACCCAGCCTGAGTGTGTGGACGGAGCGCTGCTCCCGAATGGAGGTAAGGGGGGCCGCGCCCAGACCAGCACTACAATGGTAGCAGCGGTAGGATACATGTGTCATTAACATGTTTAAGTTTATTTAATTTTAAGAATCATATTTTTGCCCACCTCCCGCCCAATTTTTTTTTTTTTTGGTACTTTTGGATTTTTTAGATCGGAATCATGCCAAATGACGAAACGTTAGAGCCTTTGCCACCAAATTTAAATATTCATCAGATCGGTACATTTATTCCCAATTTTGATGGATCATTCCCTATTCAGGATTTTTTCACTGAGGTCAAGGAAGCAAAGGTGTTAGGTAACTGGCCTGATGTTGTGGCGATCAAGGTCGCAAAATCGAAATTACAGGGACACGTGGCGGATATTGTCCGTACTCGTATGGCACTTGCAAATGCCAAAACTCTGGAAGAATTCGAAACCCTACTTATAAATGCAATGCACACGGACAGACCAATAGCAACCCGGCTACAGGATCTAATGACGTGCACACAGCACCCCGTAGAAACTGTAGACCAATTCGCCAGTCGGCTTAGGGCCAAGGCGAAATCTCTAACTGAGTGGGACGCTACTCCGGAAACCCAGCAGTTGAAAAACAAAACCGTGGCGGCTACTTTTGTAAAAGGGCTGAAGCCAGCCCTCCGCCAGCTGGTTCTGCCTCACAACCCTGCTGATTTCGAATCAGCGATAACCCTTGCCAGGACACACGAGATGAATAGCTCCTTTATGCCCGACACTACCTCCGCATCGGCAACACAAGCAACTACGAGCGTTATGGACGAGCTCCAACGCCGCGTAGCCAGCCTCGAGCTCGCTGCTGCACAACCGACCTATCGTGGTCGTGGTCGATTCCCCTCCAACACGGCCAACCGAGGTGGCTCGGCACACCCCAGCCGTGGCCGTGGCCGTGGCCGTGGAAACGGTCGAGGCCGTGGCTATTCTGGGCCACCCCGTGCTCCTCCCCACTACGAACGACGGCCAACTTCCGAGCACCGCTGCCAATGTGCGTGCCGACACTCATGCCATAGCCGCAGCCGATCCCCGGATAGAGATTACCGATATTCATCCTATGATCGGTATGAGCGCCGCAGCTCGCCGCGTCCAAGGTCGCGTGAGCGCCGGGGACGGTCCAGGTCACCATCCTTTTCACCAGACCGGAGTCGTTCTCACAGGTACAGATCTTCTCGTTCCCCAAACCAGAACCGCTCGCAACGCTAGACGGTGGCAAAGCGTTTGCGAGCGTTGCTTCGAATCAAAGTGAAACCCTTAGACCTCCACCAATACTGAAGGATATCCATGTTTGTGAAACAAAAGCATCTGCTTTGTACGATACTGGATCCAGTGTCAGCCTGATCAGTCAAGATTTTTTCCGAACTTGCAAAAGTGAGACTTCTCTCAAACATCCGTCAGTATCTATTCTTGGCGTTACTGGCTCTGCAATCGAAATCGTAGGTGAATGTTGTATCACAATTAACATTCTTGGTCGTGATATCAAACATAAATTCTATGTCACAGAAAAACAACTTTCTTTTGGTTGTGATATTATTTTAGGCATCGATTTCATCATAAAACATCAGTTGATGTACAGTCCAGTATCAACGGAAGTGACGTTCCTTCAGCCATGTGCGACATCTTCGATTCGGTCGAATGTTGCTGCATCGAAACGACTGAGTCCAAAGCGAAGAAAACGAGTGAGATTTTTGCTAGGGACAACCGATGATTTAAAACCCATCACTTCTGATAGTCCGCTATATACTGATGACGTCAACGAGGCATTTATTATCGACGATGGAAAAAGTTTTCCACTTTTTATATCTCAATCAGTTGAAATTCCACCATTTTCAGAACACTTTGTTCCGATGAAACTTCCGCGTAACTTTACAGCAGATGAACGTCCTTATTTTATCCAGGGTCATGTTGAACAGTCAGTTACAGGAATCCATGTAGCACGAGCTATTGCATTCTTTCGCAAATCACGCGTGTCCATACGTGTAGCTAACGTAACGTCTGAACCTATCTTGCTCCGCAAGAATGTCCGTCTTGCTCAGTTCAGCCCCACTGCAGCTTCAGTCAATGAGAGTCATGTGCAATCAGATCCTGTTTTGCACGCTGCAGCAGCCTCAGCTGAAAGCAAGATCACAGTCGACGACTTCAAAATTGATCATGTTCCTGAACCATATCGATCCCAGTTACGTGACCTACTGATGGATCACATTCACGCATTTGGAAAGGATTTGAAAGACATTAAATTCACAGATGTATACGAGCATCATATAGAGTTGTCTGATGCAACTCCTGCTTTCAAACACCCCTATCGGTTACCTTTTGCTCATCGAGATGTTGTCAAAACAGAAGTAGACAAATTATTAGCTAGCGGTATCATTGAGCCTACCGTAAGCTCTTACAATG